ACCAGGCCGCTAAGAGAGCGGGGGTCGAGGCCTGGGAGCAACGCGGCTCTTCATCAGCTCTCCAAGGACTACCCGCGGTGGGCTCATAGCCTGCTCTGTGTTTCTGAAAGGCAGCTGATGAGCAGCCTGGCCTTGCCCCTTCATTTGCTAGATTGCTGCCTACGCTGCCAAGCGTCCTGCTTCGTGCTGCTGGCAAAGGGATCTTGCTCCTACGGCGCTGCAGATACCCGAGCCAGGCAGCCAGCAGCGCGGCACGTAATAGCTACCTTAATGCTTGGCTTCTGGCCGTTTTAAAACCTAGAAAGTCTTGCCTGTTTTTCCCCTTCTCCATGTGGAGTTCATAAGGTGGTAGGCTGGCTCTGAGCTCCTCCTCTGGGCAGGCAAATGGTTAAATACTCGATAATTATGTGCTCGTCTATAAGGGGTGAAAAGGGAGGGAGCAGGATGCCTTCTATCACTATTCAAGGAGCAGGTTGCCGTTTTCTTTCCAGAAACAATGGTGGGTGAGGCATGGAGCTGAGGGGCTCTGGCTGCTGGTGTCATGCTTAGACCCTTCTTCACCCAACCCTGCTTTCAGACCTGTCGGCCCGGTGCACACATCCAGCAAAGAGGCTCAGCAGTGATGCAGATGCTGAGGAGGGGTCTGTATAAACCCCACCAGCTGTGCCGCTACCAGCCACAATTAGCACCGATCACAGTGCACGCATGTGAGCCAAGACGATTGATGACTCAATCCTTTTGCTACTGAACCAGTTAGGGCTTTTTTTATAGCCATCTGAGTTGAGAAATATGCAACACAGTGAACAATATCCAGTAAATAATGAGGTCTTCCCAGTCGGACTTTAGGCCAAGTAAAATAAAGCAACTGGGCCAGATGACTTAAATTTTCCAGCTATGAATTGTAGCAATTCACCAGCTGTATGCAGTAAAATACAAGTGAAGGGGTATCCCTTGGGATCTGGTGTTTAAACCTGTGCAAATAGCGGTTCTTTTCAAAACACACAGCCCTAAACAAAAGATAACAGAACTTAAGGATGCTCTGGAAGTGAAAAAAAGATGGACAACAGGTGAGAGTTACTTAGACAACTTTATTTGTATCCCCATTCCCCAGTAACGGGGTTCTGTAGCTCTGTTCCTTGTGTAAGGACTTCTCTTTCAAATTTCCCTCACCATGCAGGAAGGAATTATATTTGCTCCGTAATAATAAAATCTGTCCACAAAAGCTGTAAACATATATTTTGAGTCTTTTGTTATTGTCTCTTCCAAACACACACACAATATTTGTATGAAAGAATTTCTAGTTGACCTTTAATGTCTAGTCCCTGACTCAATCTCACAGTTTTTTTTACCTTTTTTTTCTCTCTTTTTTTTTTTTTAAAGCAAAAATACCTTGATGTGAATGTTTTTTGTCACTGGTATCTGAAAGAATCATCTCATTGCCATACTTCCAGCCCCTACGGAGCCTTTTGCTTAGAAATTTTTTGAAACATGCCCCGTTATAATCCCGTAGGGATGTTGAACCTTTGCGAGGTCCAGTTCTTGGTCTGAGGTCCCTCTGCTTTTACACCTTCAGCAGCACGGAGCCAGGACCTCTGCAACATCTTGTACGTCTGTCTGACAACACTCACGCTGTACGGAGAACACCCGACCGTCTCGCAGCGATGGGCGTGTGGAGCGTGAATGTCAGGGTGTGCCTTTTTCTCTCCCATTTGGATCTTTGCATTCGGCCCGTAGCGTTGAACGTGAGTTGAAAGTAACGCTGCAATCTATTCAGACCTGCCAGCTGATTTTAATAGTCTCGCTCAAATGCACAATATCTCCTTAGCCCACTTGGCTTCGTGAGTGTAGAGGTGAGCAGGTCCTATTTTATCATTAAGACTTTTTCAAGTAATGCTTTCTTTTGGCTCACAAATAAATCAAGAACAGCAGTAAAACAAGAAAGGAGAATAAATCTTCTGATTGATTGCAGGCAGAAGAGATTCTTTCAGCTCTTTGCTTTTTACGCTTGAGTTCAGTAATGGCACGTAGCTTTTTTTGCACTTTCCTAGCAATCTGTCCATGCTTTCATTCCAAACCGTGCACATGACATCCAGCAGCTGTGTGGGTCCCATACAACTGACCCAAATGAGGTACGTTTCAGGGCTATCGGTCACTAGTAAATCCAGGCTATTTCACAGAATTTGTCATTTTCCTTCTGAGATATTCTGAAGGATTTTGATGAGATTCTCGAGGCCAAAAATATAGCCGTGGTCTGGCCCATCATAAGTGGTGTGATTGCATTTGGAGCCTTTAAAAGTGGTGTGGGCAAAGTCTATCATCCGGACGTCAACTCTGGAGTGACTAGTGCTCTGTGATGTGGTGCAGTTTGTTTTTGGGAAGTGGAGGTGATTATCCAAGGATGCCATGTTCTCCTTGTGCTCCTGTCCATCGTAAATGATGAGCAGGGAGCTGGAGTAGAACCTGTAAGAGCTTTGCTTCCTAATGACAGAAAGCAGAGCTTTTAGCCGCAGGATGATGGGCTCCAGGAGATCCGTTCGCAGGTGGTTACCGTTGCACAGGAACTGGCGCAAGGTTTGCCTGAATCCCTCCGGTGAGAGTTTCCTGCCGTAATACTTATCTTTGCAGAGAAAATGGCCAGTATCCGCTTGGTAAACCTTGAGGAAAGAGAGCAACAATCCAGATTCAGTTCAGTTTTCCCAAAGCTCTAGATTTCACCCCAATCTAAAAAGTTCAGACCCGAGCTAGGAAATGGGACACAAATCCTCTGCAGTCTAGCAATATCTGGCAATGCTGGCGATGTACTGCAGGCTTCTCACCGAATCCCATGTCCTGTCTTTTCTGGAGATTTAAACTATTCAATTTAAACCACTAGTGCAGGTTCCTGTTGTACTGCTATAAATTACCCCTTTGTGAAACCCAAATAGCTGTAAGTCATAGCCGTGTCAGTAGTAATTTACAGCATTTTCCCTCTGGCTATGGTAGGAGTTTGCAGCAGTACAGGAAAACCCCAGCTTTGTACCTTCTCGCAGTATGTAATGCACGGGTAGCAATAATCTTGCTTTCTTAAACACAGGGAGACAAGATGTAGACAGATATTTGTATATGAGGCTCTGGCAACAGTGAGTAAGAAATGAGGGAGTGAATTTAGAGTTAGCTCACGCGCCAGTTGTAATTTAAAGGATAATCTGCTCAACAGAAGGATGTCAGAGACCAGAAAGGGATACAGGGTTTGACACTGAGTGTTTATGCTGCTATATATGTGCTTTATAATCATCTTTCTCATAATTATCCTTCAGGCACAGCAGAATAACATTTGGAAACCTGCTTGAGAAGTGTGAGTGAACCAAATGCGTGGCTCCCGTTTCTAGGAGGAAGGGCAAAATCCTCTCGATTTTGAGCGAGAGGAACCATAACATTTAGCACAAAATAAACCCCTCGCTCTTGCGGTGACAGGATGAGACAGCTCTGCGAAGGCATGAGCAGGGCAATGGCGTGCTCTTTTGTTTTTCTTTTCTGTGCAGCAGTCAAGAGCTGAGCGTGAGAAGGGCATCTGTGCTCATGTACAGGCAGATTCTCAGCTGAGGTAAACTGGTTCCAGCTGCTCATACTGGTGGCAGTGGTGTGGTGTGGTGCTTATGCAGCCACCGCTTGTGAAAGCAGCTAAATCTCTAGAAGTCAAGGAGAGGATATGGGCAAGGGTTACCCTATATGTGCCATATTCTATACTCTTCCCTAAGCATCCTCTCCTCTCCCGTTTGAGGATAGGACACACAAGGGAGGGACCAGTTCTTGCAGCCTGTATTCGACAGAGACAAGAATGAAACGGCTTCAGTTTACACCAACAAAGGAAAGACTTTAAATTTCCAGCTTGGTTTCAAGCTGTGTGTTGGGCAAACACCAAAAGGACCGAGGCTCCGTCTTACCTGCATCCCACAGATGCGAACACCCAGAGACCCAGAGGTGCTTTGTTCACATTTCTTGATGTGCCGGGCTTTCTTTTCCTCCGAGGCATCATCGCCGTGCTGCCTGGTTCCCATCTTTAAGTCCAGGATGCAGGGATAGTTGTACTTTGATACCACATTTTCAAGCAATAGAAACTCTGAACATGAGTTAAGGGAAACCCAATACTTTTAAATTCTAATTGAGAGAGGTCTTAAATCACAGCAACTGCTGATGCTCTCCATAATAGCTCACAACAGTAATGAGACTTTCTGAGCCAATTTTACCAACATGTCATTGCTATAGGCCCCTTGCTGCCAATTTCAGTTATTTATTGTAGTACAGTCCTCCCAATTAAAGCACCAACAGCTCCATTCTCTAGTGACACGGTAGCCCTGGGCTGTCAATCCGACACCTTGCCTCACTCCAGTGGGTGTGGGGGAAGTTGCTAAACCGTATTACTCACATGACTGGTGGGTAATGAAGTGTAATAGGGAAATAAAAGGCGAGGCAGCTGCTAATTCCTGTATAGTTGTGTTTTTAAATGTATGCCAAAGGGATGCTCGACTTATGTGGAATACCCTGTATGAGAAGTGGGTTTTTTCTTTTTCGTCTTTTTTTTTAGAATAGAAGTGATCTACAGTGATCATCTAGTCCAGCCGAACAGTGGGAGAAGATAACAGAGCAGCTATATTCTATATATTCTGTATTTTCCCAGGGACTGAGCAGAGGAGAGATGCATACCCCCTACAGTAAAACATACATTGATTACGAGCTGTTATTTGTAGCCAAGACTATGCTGGAGGGGAGAGAGGAGAAAGGATACGATGAAGTTTGTTCTCATTATGCTTGGAGGACATGCGGTTCAGGTGCTGCCTGTGACAGTGCAGTCCCCAGGGGTTGTAGCTCTTTCTTTCTGGCTGGTTTCTGTTTGCACCTTCCAACAGTGAATCTGTGCGGTACTGAAGGTCTGTCCTCAATAGCATCTTCCCCGGGCAGCTAGACAAAACACACAAAAGAACACGCTTGGTTTATAGGCTCCAGAAGAGAGTATTCCCTCCCCTCCTCTTTTGTAGAACCTCAAACTTGATAAGGTAAATTTTCAGGGACTCTCAAAGGAAACATATTCATCATGTCCAACCTGCGGAGATCCTTTGCTACTCCCTAAAAGTAATTTTCAGAAAGCCAGCTATTGCTGGGTGCCAAAATTTTCTTTCATTATAATTTCACAGTGTGCTTGGCTCCTATGGAAAGCGCCAATGACCGGGAATCTCTATCTACCTAATGGGCACAACACGGGCAAATTGTCCAACAATAGGAATGATTCCCAATTTAGAGGGGCTGGCTTCAAGAAGGGGAGGGAGCGGTGAGGAGATTTGTTCTCCTTGGAGGGTCACTCCTTAGTCTTGCTCATCCAAAAACCGTAACTCCCATCACGCCGAGGGCAGCGCTTTCACGGTAGCAATATTGCACCCTTCAGTCATACCTGACCTAGGTCTTCTCTGAGCCAGTTGGAGATGAAAGATGTCTTGCAGAAAGCCCCTGCAAGCCCTGAGGTCGCAGCACGCTTGCAAGCGCCGCAATGCCTTTCAGAGACGGCTCTCCCCTGGGACGAGGATGGGGTCGAACCACCTCGAGGCTTCTACTTCTGGCTGGTTACCAGCAGAAGGGCATTACGTGCTTGGTGGCTGTTCTCCTGGGGCCTCTCCTCCTTTTGGAGCATGCCGTGCTCCGAGGAAACAGGTTTAAAGCAGGGTTTGAGGCACGTATTTGAGCAACAGCACCTCAGTGATAGCCAAATCTGCCCTGCTCCATCCACAAGCTGGGGAAGAGATGAACTATGAAGCCACCGAGCTGGGCTTTGCCTTTCTTCGCCTTGGCTGGGCACTGCTTCTGCTCACTTTGCCTTAAACCAGGAGTCGTGTCACCAAAACCATCCCAGTTAGACCCTACCCAAAGCGGCAGGCGAGGACCAGGAGGAGGTTTGCAGGGAGCAGCAGACCCTCACCTGTCTTTGAAGGTCTTGGTGAGCTGCGTGTGACTCCACTTGACGAGCGTGTGCTCGCTGCCGGTGCCGGTGCCGGCAGCCCACTTGCATTTGTGCCATATCGTCACCGAGGAGTCGCCGATGGCGTTATCCAGCCGGCCACAGCTCTCCGGCTGCAGGCTGGGGCTGGCGATCAGGGTCAGGTTGCCGAGGCTGTCCTTTTTGAGGTGCACAGAAACGATGCCTGGACAAAAAGGGGGAAAATCAAATCAGAATGAGGTTAACCCATGGGTTACCGTACAGGCTTGGCCACCATCTGCACCAGCCCAAGGTGGTCCAGCCTCCCCGAGAGGGCTGGCGCTTAGCAAGACAGCGGCCACCTCGTGTTTTAGTGGCCTCTCGCACCGATCCCACTCTGATTTGAGGTCAAATAAACACCATTAGTCTGAAACCCTGGAAAACAGCCACAAGCTCTTCTAACGTTCCCCCCTCTCAAGGTTTGGCTTGAAACCTGCCTCCTCTGAACATCATGTTCCTTGGTCCTCTGTCCCTCCAGACTCTTGGCATACCACAAGTGACCCAGCAAAGACCCCCGCGCTGGACTGGGAACTCCTGGCTTATTTATGACAAGGGATTTAGGTCTCACTTTTTAAGACAAGGGCAAGGTTGGAAATGCTTTTCATTGGCAGGAAGCAAAGGGAGGGTTGGGGACCTGGAATTTTCCAAAGACAACCAGTATGCCAACTCCTTCCTTTAATTGGAGAGCCCCCAGGAGCAAGGGCAGAGGCGTGTGCATGGGCTGGCAGCGCTGCCTGCGTACGTGATGCCCGCGCATTGTCATGGTCGTGTCCTTCCCCACGCGCCAAGGACCAGCACCCGAACGGCCGACGGCGGGGGCCAGACCCTCACATGTCTGGTGTTTGCGCATGAGGAGGAGCATGACCGTGAAGAGGGATTATTACTTTCCACCCGGAATGCTTAAGACACCATTGTGTATTTTAGCATTGCAGTATTTTCCCTGACTCTAACGGGGATCACAGGGCGCAAATGCCATTCAGCCCATCGCATATTTAGCCCAGCCTCAGCCCATCCCCGGCTCAGGGACGGCTGCCTCCGCGTCTCAAATGACAGAGCAGGAACGGCCGCGGATCGCGTACGCGACGTCTCCGACCTTTCTGGGAAAGGCAGATAACCTCTGTCAGGGCTGCCCGAGCCTCTCAAGGCGGCAGAGGCGTTTTGAGAGCATCGCCCTTTGGGTCTCAGCGGGGATGCCAGCCGCACGAGTCGCCCGCAGCGATGCCCTGCTGCTTTCCAGTCTAGCTGCAGTAAGGCGGCTCCAAAAGGGGACACGCAAGGCTGTTGGACCAGCAAAACTCGTCGCTGGAAGGAGCCTCGGTTAGCGGCACGTGGAGCTGGGTTTTATCCAGCTGTCCCCAGGGCATCCCCACTTGGTCTCTCAGGCACTGCGGGGAGATGCGTTTCGGCAGCTTAGCAAACAAGGGAGCTCTGGTTTCCCAAGCAAATTTGCCAAAGCAAATAAATATGCAAACTCCCTTCTCTCCATTTAAAGTGAGATTATAGTGAGCAAACACAGACACAAGGACTTGCCCTCTCGGTGTGTGCGCAGAGTCCTGCCTGCGGAGTTTTCGTGACTGGGGGAGGTTTTCGCCGCCTGAATTGCAGGAGTCCTGGGTGTCTTCACCTCTGTTAGACTCGGGGTGCCCATTCCTCCCCAGGTCCTGTACCCCATAACCCTCCAGGTCCAGCTGTATTGGGATACGCTTCCCTCCCACCCTCCGTACAGCCCCTCTGCTCAGGTACCACAACCATTTCTGTTGCCTTTTGCTGTAAAATCCGCATTAATCCTGGCAGGCTCGGTTAAATCAGCTTAATTTTGCTCTGAAATGGGGGAGAAATACACACAGGCTGTTTTGCTATGGGGCTGGGAACCTTAATTAGGGGGTAAGTAATATTTTTAGCTCTCTCAGTCCTTTGCTCGTGGGCACGGTGGGCACGGGGAGCTCCGTCTCCCTCAGGCTGTGACGCTACCCCCGATCTTTCACTGAGGCTCATTCCTAACAAATCCGTATCACAGATAACGGAGAGCAAGCGAAATTCCTATCAGCTCGGATGCCGGCTCTGAATTTTCAGGGGAGGTAGGCAGGAAAAAAAGCCGGTGTATCTTTTGCCCATATCAAAGCTTTTTTATTTTTAAAAAGTCACTGTGAGGCGAACGGAGTCCTCGATTCCAAATCTAGCTCTACGCCTCAGTTACGGCACTATAGCAGCCTGTAACCTTAAAAACTGTCCCAATTACATATCTACAAGTCAATGGAGCTGTGCTGATTTGCATAGTGCTGACAATCTGGCCCTAAAAACGTTATATATAGCATGAAACTAAGAGTTCTTAAGTATCTTAGATTAATATGAAAATTAATGGGGAGATTTTCAAAGGCAAGAATGAGCAGTTAAATTGCAAGGGAATGTGATCCTCTCACTCCTTCCAGCCGAAAACTGCCTTCATAAACTTACATCTCAGCCTGAAAAATACTTTTGGTTCCTGGTGTGCTCCTATACGGGTGTTACATATGTCCTGCAAGTGACCTACAAAATCAAAATCTGTAACGCATGGCTCCCGACCTTCTCTTCTATTGCAATAAGAAAATATCTATGTGGGAGCAAAAGTGTATTTAGGTACTTGTCTTTGCTGGCCTTTTAGCGTCACCAAAACTGCAATGCCACCCCTGGCCAGCACCAATGAGGCAGCCAGAGGGTATTTACGGGTGCTGTCACCATGCTCGTGGCATCCTGGTGATCCTCAGAAGCGTTCTGTAGCTATGTAAGAAGCTATGTAGCTCTACCCTCATGGATTTATTTTTAAACTTCGAAGTGCATTTATTTACTGCCATGTGCAATAGGAATCCGAGCAGAACCGGGCTTGAAAACAAGTCCAGCATCCCCTTGCAAGCTCCGCTCGGGGCAAGCAGAGGTTTGCAAGAGGTTGATGGGGAAAGCCGGTCGCAAGGTCACCAACCTGCCTGAAATGGTCAAGCGAGCAATGGACATTTTTTAAGCAGCCGACTCGGTGTGAGATTTGAATGATGACATTTGATCAACGTTGCACATAATGTCATCATTACATAATAGTCCCCCCATGCCACAGTCTAAGAATAGAGATGAGGAACGTGGACACGTGTGAACGGGTGATGAAGACCTCAGGTTTATTCCCCCTGATGCTCATCCCCCCCATCACCCTCATGGGAAGGTGTTCCACCTCTTTAATTCGCCTGGCATTCAGGGCTGGGACAGTTATAGCAGGGAAAAAAAGTCTGTGCCCAATGCCAAGTCGGAGAAGAATTGCTATTTAATTACCCCTTGTCGCAAAACTCACTGGGACTTGCAGTAGAAGAGAAAAAGAAGACAAAAAAAGTTATTAATAACCAGGCCACCCCTGAACTGATAAGCTGGGACTGCTTAACATCTTTATTAGAGAGACAGAGCAGGGCCCAGCTCTCCAGCACCGAATCCTGGCCCCTGCTAAAGAAAATTGCTTAGAAGACTTGTTTTCTTTCTTAAGCATCTTTTTAATATCATCCCATAAATCTGCAAAGGCCCCTGACTTTCTGGGAAAGGGAAAGATTGGATTTGGAGCGCATCGAAACCGCAGCTGACACTTTGAGCTCTTTTCTGTAGTGCTGAAGGACCAAAAGATATTTTAAGTTTTTACGTGACAGCTGAGCTTCTCGCCTCTCACAAAAATCCAGGGTCAGGAGCTTTATGAGCAGCACAAGTCTGGCCGTAAAAGCAGAAATGGTGAGGAAATAAGAAAGGGAGGGAGGATGTCTAAAAAAAATACTAGGACCCCCCCAGACCCCAAGTGCTGCTATTCAGTAGCTAAGTTGAGAAATTCAGCTGGGAAAGCGGTTCGAGGCAAGGAGAGTTAAGGACAGGGGAGGTGTTTGAAGGGGGGACCGGGCAGTGATGGGGGGCACCAGGCAGAGGAGGCTCTTCCCTGCCTGGATTTGATTTTTAGAAGTTAAGTGGTCTGTACCTCATGTTTTCCAGGGACCAGGGTATATAGGAGCGCTGGGGGAAGCAGCGCTTGGCTAAGGTGGAGCACCCAGCAAAAGCCACGCTGGAGACATCCCTGGGCTGTTTTTTCAGGCTCAGTATTTCGTGGTGGCCCCAAGAGACCTTTTCCTTGCCCTCAACAGCTTCTCCACCTCTGACACAAACCTCCACCTCCTCTAAAACCAAGGCTTGGAGCAACGGGGCCATGCCTGTGGGGCAAAGGCACCCTCAGTCCTGCTCCTGGTACAGAAAACCTTTGTGCTCAGGGGATGCTAATTCAAAGCTCTACTGAACAGAGCACATAATGTGTCCGATCTTGGGAATCCTGTTTGGAACAAGACCCTCCGAGTCCCTGCTTTCCTGCACCTATTCAGTGCCGCCATTCGCGTGCCGTCAGGCCAGCCTGTCTGGGGCCATGACCTGCAAAATCCTCAGAGCAAACACTGATGGGAAACCCCGTCCTATTCCTGCCCCTTGTTCTGTGATTTTTCCTGTGTTTACCCTTTCTGTCCCGCTCCGGCGTTGCGCAGGCTCTTGGCTCCCCAGGAGGGGATCGTGTTCA